CTTGTCTTCTGGTGGAACCGACCTTCGAATCTCTTCACCCAACACTTTCACTCGAAATGGAAGTAATCCCAACAATTATGAAACAAGAGACTCCTCGAAACCCAACTTTTCTTTGTATATAAAACAAATAAATGTCCTAAAAGACTTACCGTCCCCGAAACGAGTGCAGTAGCCGCCGAATTCCGGTCCGCAGTTGATGCGTCTTTCGGACATCTCAAGTCACCTGGCAACTGCTCGCCTCGGTCACTCGTTGCCTCACTTGCTGGGCCCAGGCTCGAGTCTCTCTTCGGCCAGTCTTTCTCGTAACCTGGCGTCGCGGTGCCCAGTAGCGGCGGACCAGTAGCTTCGGCGACCGAATGGCCGCCGGTTCCGCGTAGAGCTTGAAGTGACGCGGCAACCGCGAGATTCGAGCTCCAGCGTCCGTTACGTCCGGCCCCGCGACCAGACGCGCAGCGACTTGACCGTCCCGCCCCGCCGGTTTTACATACCGACGCGCGTGACGGACTGCAGTTGACGCCATGAGTTGCTCCAGTTGCTGAGGCGACGGCGACAGCGACAGCGACATCAACGTCGAAAGCGACGCTGGCGCCGCGTCGGTTGTGGCCAGGACGACCGGCGAGTCGGTCAAGCGGAACGGCATGACGGCCGGACAAAGAGGCGGTGGTCGTCTCGTCGAGCGTGTCGACGGACAGACCGGCCGGATTGGTCGTCTCTGAAGCGAGTCCGAGGGGTGGCGGGGCCTCGGCGACCGGATCGTCGAGATCGGTCACCTCAGCCTCATGCACTCCGAACGACTTGAGCGCTGGCCGAGGGTGGTCATGCTGACCTTTGGCCTCGAAATAGACCGCACCGTTGGCGAATCGCCAAAAGTGGGTGACCGGATAGCCGCCGTGACCCTTGCAGTTGCGTTGTACCAGTCGACCGGAACAGCCCGGCGTGATGCAGGGACGAGCTGACCGATCGGGGACAAGTTAGGTCACGTGAGAGAGAGGATTCGGGAGACATTCAACTTTGTTGTAAATACTTTTTTTCATATAAAAATGCATTTAAACAAATTAAATGAGAGAGAGAGAGAGTATTTAATCGTCAACCGAAAGAAGGCGACTCAACTTGTCGGCTCGTTGATGGTTCTAACCTCACTCACATTCGTCCGACATGTC